GGTCTTCCTCTGTCGCTCAGGCTGGAGTGCAGTGACAGGATCTATGTTGCCCAGGCTGGTCTCGAACTTCTGGCCTCAAGCAATCCCAAAGTGAAGTGTTGGGATTACAAGTGTATGTCACCATGCTCAGCCTATAAAATACATTCTTAAGATTCATTTCGTTTTTCCCTTATTTCTTGACGCAGCTCCCCTACAAACCAATCACATTGCCTTGAAACTGCCCTTTGGCTTCCACACTCCCCATGGGGCCTGGGTCTTGGGAGGCAGGAAATGTGTCTTCAGTTTGATGGGTTTCCAGCTCCTGGCCCTGGGCCTGACACACAGAGAGTGTTCAGGAACCAGCTGATAATGGAATGAATGATGGTGAATGAATGAAAGCACACAGGCACTCACACGGCACCCCTCACTGGTCTCCTAAAACCACATTTGCAGGTTCCCTGGGAGACAGCTGCGTCTGTGAGCCAGTGTTTGACTTTTCCCAAACAGCTGCAGGTGTCTGGTGTCTGGGTAGCCAGGGGAGTCCTTTAGACATTCAAGGTGACCCTCATGTCGGGCATGTGGCTATGGGCCCAAAGCAAAGGACAGGTGCGTTCTGCTCCAAATGACCCTTCCCTCTCCTCACTCCCCTACCTGATGATATGGTCTGGCTATGTCCCCACCCAAATCTCATCTTGAACTATAGTTCCCATAATCCCCATGTATTGTGGGAGTGATCCGGTGAGAGGTAGCTGAATCACGGAGACGGTGACCCTCATAACCCTCATACTGTTCTCATGCTAGTGTGTGAGTTCTCACAAGATCTGATGGTTTTATAAGGGGCTTTCCCCCTTTTGCTCTGCACTTCTCCCTGCTGTCGCCATGTGAAGAAACACGTGTTCGCTTCCCCTTTCACCAAGATGGCAAATTTCCTGAGGCCTCTCCAGCCCTGTGGAACTGTGAGTCAATGAAACCGCTTCCCTTTATAATTGGAGAAATCTTTAAATTATAATACTAACACACCTGACTTCTGATTAGACCATTTCCCCAGCTCCAGCACTGAAAACTCACAACCACATTCTCTCCATGAGTAGGACCCAGGTAAGAAATGCCATGTGTTTGTGTCTTGTAAACTGCCATAATGGCTAAGTATCCACACCAAGTCCACAGAGAACGGATGCGAAGTCTTGCCTTCCAATGAAAGGAGGAAGGGGGGAAGCAGCATAAAAAATTTATTAAACTGGAGCCACTGGGACCAAATCGCAAGTTAAAGATTCAAATGCATTCCCCTTCCTTAGAACTGATGATTTACGTTTGCAATAACTGCAGTCATAAAGAGCTTGTTGGATTACAGAGGTGCAGTCTTAATATCAGGGAATAACATTATCGGACGGCGCAAAGCCACGTGTTCCCCAGAGTCGCTTTTCTGGGTTCCCCAGAGTCGCTTTTCTGGGTGAGAGGAATTTTGGTTCAAGAGATCAGTCACAATCAGAATGGGCAGAGAAAGATGGAAAATGGGCAACCCAGACAGGTACAGTGGCTCACACCTGTAATCCCAGCACTTTGGGAGGACGAGGCAGGTGGATCACCTGAGGTCAGGAGTTCGAGACCAGCCTGGTCAACATGGTGAAACCCATTCATATTAAAAAATACAAAAATTAGCCAGGTGTGGTGGTGCATGCCTGTAATCCCAGATACTCGGGAGCCTGAGGCAGGAGAACTGCTTGAACCTGGGAGGTGGAGGTTGAAGTGAACTGAGATCACGCCACTGCACTCCAGCCTGGGTGACAAAAACAAAACTCATCTCAAAAAAGACCAGGCAGGTGGTTCACACCTTTAATCCCAGCACTTTGGGAGGCTGAGGCGGGCAGATCACCTGAGGCCGGGAGTTCGAGACCAGCATGACTAACATGAAGAAACCCCAGCTCTACTAAAAATACAAAATTTAGCCGGGCATGGTAGGTAGCGCACACCTGTAATCCCAGCTACTCTGGAGGCTCGAACCCAGGAGGTGGAGTTTGTGGTGAGTTGAGATTGCGACATTCTAGCCTGGGCAACAAGAACAAAACTCCATCTCAAAAAAAAAAAGAGGGAGGGAGGGAGGGAGGGAGGGAGGGAAGGAAGGAAGGAAGGAAGGAAGGAAGGAAGGAAGGAAGGAAGGAAGGAAGGAAGGAAGGAAGGAAGGAAGGAAGGAAGGAAGGGAAAAGAAAAGAGAAATAAAAGGAAAATGGGCAACCTAGGTTCTAGCCTGATGAGCCAGGCAGAAACCCTCCAAATGGAATGTGCACCCTGAGCCAGCAGGGGCAGCCTGGCCACGTGGCGGGCAGCAGTTCACGGAGTGTCCCAGGCTCAGCACCCAGGAGGCTCCTACGGAGTGTGTATGTCACGCCGGTCCTTGGCCACACAGGCCGACTAGTCCCCATCGTCCCAGAACCCTCCTGTGCTGACCGTCCAGAAACACCGAGGGGTGTTTCTGCAGAGCACAAAACCCCAACCTCAGGCTGGTGACAGGAGACACAGCAGGTCAGGAACTTGTCAGGAGCACCCCAGGCTCTGTGGGGCACAGGCTCTGCACAGTGGGGGGTTAGGGTCAAACCGTGGCTCTGCCACTTACTAGCTGGGTGACATGGGCCAGTGGTGTCCCCCTCTGGACCTCAGTTTCCTTATCTGTAAAACGAGGATGACCGCAGAACAGCTCACAGAGCGAATGAGGGTGGGGGCATGCAAGGGAATGAAGCCCAGCAGTGCCCAGCCCCAGAGAAGCTCGTAAGCATCGCCCACTGCTGCTGTCATTGTCATGTGGGTACAGACGCCCTACCATGTACAGAAGGCTTGCCCTGCCAGGGCTGGGCCAGGAGAGGACAGGAAGAAGATGCAGGTCCGACCCTCTGATCTGCAGGGGAAGGGCAGACCATCAAGGTGTACCCCTGGGGCACCCCAGAGCCCCAACAGAGGTGTGGGTACCGAGGGGGCGCTGGCCAGGATGGAGCACAGGCGGCTTCACAGAGTGGGAGACACCTTGGCCTGGACATGGCAGAGAAGGATTCCAAGGCAGGGAATTTGGGGAAGGGTGCAGAGGGCATGGTTCCAAATCTAAGCATGGCAAGTGGTGAGGCTGAGACACTGCCGGGGGCCTTATCCCCCAGGGACTTCCCTCTGGCCATGCCACCAGCCTGAAGCCCTGCCCTCTCTGAACCTGTGTCCTCCCCGATTACAGGGTTGAGATGGACAGCCCTCAGTCAGCCTTGGGAGCCTGCATGTGAGCAATTTTTGGAATTTCTGTTTCCCCCAGATGAAGTTTCATTCTTGTCGCCCAGGCTGAAGTGCAGTGGTGCGATCTCGGCTCACTGCAAGCTCCGCCTCCTGAGTTCAAGTGATTCTCCTGCCACAGCCTTCTAAGCATCTGGGATTACAGGCGCCCGCCACCACTCCCGGCTAAATTTTGTATTTTTAGTAGAGACAGGGTTTCACTATGTTGGCCAGGCTGGTTGGTCTCTGACTCATGATCTCAGGTGATCCACCCACCTCGGCCTCCCAAAGTGCTGGGATTCCAGGCGTGAGCAATTTTTTTCCCTCAGAAAATTTTCGAAGTTTCCCTCAGTTTCCTGAGGCTGGTCAGTGGCCTCCAGGTCAACGCCCCAGGCCTGGCTGTGACCCGCATGGCCCCGGTTCCTGCCTCTCCCCTTCTGGATGCTCTACAACCCTCAGACCCACGTGGGGCTGACCAGATGTCTGGGAGCTCTGGGAGTCCTGCCAGTGGGATTGCCCAGGGCCCCGAGGCCAGCCCAGCATCAAAGGAACGAGCTGGTGGCAGCTCCTCCGGCTGGTGGGCGAGGAATTTCTTTCACAGGAGAGCATGAGGCTGGGCTGCCAGCATGGTGCTGCACACTGATTTGGGTGTGACTTAAATTGTTTATATAGGCAAGGACCCTGGGCCCTGCACCCTGGATATGGGCTGAGCAGTAAGACGGAGAAAGCCCCAGCATACAGCAGGCACTCAACACACGCAGCTCCCCACCCCACTCCTCTGACAGTTCTCATTCTGTCTGTGTTCTAAGACAAAGGGAGAGAGAAACACTAAGTGTTCCCAGAAGAAACGGTAGCTGAGCTTAGAACACAGAAGCTGCTGTCAAACAGCTCCAGAGGCCCCCAGGTGGCAAGGAAGCCCAGAGGCACCGTCTCCCGGTGGCCTGGGAGAGTGGTGGCCAAGCCAGGCCGGGAGCCCCCAGCCAGGATGCAGGCTTCAGGCAAGCCTGCCAGATCTCAGCCTGGGTCCCTTACCTGCAGGTGGGCCCCCCTTTCCTCCTGCCCTCCGACCTCCCTCCTCCCAGATCGGGCCACGAGATCACGCACTGGCCACAGATTGCCACGGTCCCGGTGGGGCTGCAGCCCTGGTGCTGTGCCAGGCTTGGGCAGTGCCTGGGTGGAGCAGAGGCCTCTCAGAGAAAGGAATGAGGTGGATACGAAGAAGAGCAGAGAGCGGCGGGCCCACAAGGCGGGTGGTGCCAGCAGGGCTGCGTGTCAGCTCTGAGCCCACACGCTCCCGTGCCCTGCGCCTGAGCTCCGGGGCCTCTGCTTCTGGCTGCACTGCTCCCTCCTCACGACACAGCCTCCCAGGACACAGCTCAAGGAGCATGACCAGGCCTCCTTTTGAGCGGGCCCCTGCTCCGCCCCACAGCTTCGCAGAGACAAGCCCTCATGGAGGACCCTGCTAGGGTGGTGGGCCAACATCCAGGCCAGCCACCAGACTGGCTGGGCAGCCTTCTAGAATGTACGAGGAGTGTGAAGATCTGCTTGCCCCTGGGGCTTCGCAGCCTTCCCACTCTGCATGGGAGCCCACTCCCTGACCCATCACGAGGAGGCACCCGGTGGGAAGAGCCCAGGGCCAGCTCTGCCCGCACTGTGGCCACCACCTTTCCTCCCGACTCCCTGGACACCACCAGGAACCTCCCTGTCCCTCCCTCCTTCCCTCCATCCCTCCTGCCTGCCATCCTCCCCGCCCTCCTCCCATCCCCCAGACTTACTCGGCCAGCTCCTCCAGGCTGCGGTAGACATCATCGTCATTCTCTGTGGTCTCCTCTGAGGGAAAAGGCCTGTGGGAGAGAAGGCGAGAGGGAGGTGAGTGGATCCCAGCACTGCTGGACCCCACAGCAGAGCCCAGTGTGGCCCAGCCAGGAGCAAAGGGGCTCCTGTTCACTCTCTGGAAAGACACGAAGTACAAGGACACTGATCGGAGTCACTGATTCGGTCAACTGGGCCGCAGAGCAAGAGGAGACCCATGCCCAGCTCACCAGGGGGCAAGGAATGTGTCACACCCACTCCGGGCTCTGGGTGTCCAGAGGGCAGGTGAGAGGCCCAGGTCAGGGCTGCAGAAAGTGTTCATCTGCCTGGAGACCTGCCTTCCCCTTTACCCTTGCTCCCATTTCCAGGGGTTCACAGGGGAGAACCTCCTGGTCTCCAGTTGAGTCCCCGCAGGAGAGGAGGCAGGAGTGGACTCTGGAAGGAAGGGGTGGCTTCTGAGGCACCGAGGGTAGGGACTCGCCCTCCCCACCCATCAGCCACGAGCTGGAGGTCAGGAAGAGAGTCCTGAAAGTGAACAGCCCTCAGACCCTCTGCATGGGTCTGCGGCCTGCCCTCCTAGGAAGGGAGCAGGAGCCTCATGGGGACACCCCAGAAGGAATAGGGCGGTGCTCCCCTCACCCTCCGCCCCCAGACGCCCCAAGCCTGGTGCCTTTCTGCAGTTCAGGATGGTATAGAAATGCACACAAATATACACGTTAATCATCTGGGCTCTTCTTGAGTCTCATTTTCTGGAACTCCCGTGCACATGTACATAATTATCAGTGTTTTTCTCCTGTTCATCTGTCTTATGTCAATTTAATTCACACCAGCCCAAGAACCTGGAGGGGTGGAAGGAAGCAGTTTCTCCTCCCCTAGGATCCAAAGCATGGCTCTGCTCTGTCCTCTGCAGACAGACATGGGTGTGGTCCCGAGTCAACAGGCCTCCCTGCACCAGGCGAGCACAGCCAGCCCGGGCCAAGCACTCAGAGCCCAGCCTCGGGGAGGGAGAAGAGGCGGGAAAGGCTGATCAAACACAGAGAGGAGGGGGCTGCAGCGGGTTCAAAGCTCTGGGCCCAATCCACTAATCTCTAGAGGAGACCCGAAAGGCCCTTTAATTAAAGCAAACATCCCCCTGTAGCCCCAGGGTGTGTGTTCTGGGAGGAAACCTGTCACTGAGGATGGGCCAGGAGACCCCAGCAGGGGCTGCCAGGCCCAGATGCTGGCTAGGATTGCTTCCTCGCCTGGGGTCAGGCTGACATTTGCTCAGCCCAAGATCCAGCTGGGACGGCAGTCCAGCCTGGCAGTCCTCCCACCACTGGGAGACTGGGGGCCTGTGCTGCAGCGGGAGGGGTGGGGGAGTCCGCTGAGCTGTGAGCTGGAGGCCTGGGTCCTACCTGGCTCTGTCACAGACCTGCAGGGACGGGGCCTTAGGTCAGAGGTCCCCAAGCCAGACCCACCAGGCCATTGGTCAGCGTGCCCCTGTGGCTTCCTGGTAGAAGCCTGTGTCTAAGGGGGCAGCATGGCCAGGCCTGACCTCCACGTGGTGAGCTCTCTCCTCCCAGCCACTCTCCCTCCTTCCACCATCACCGACAGCAGCATCCCCTAGTGGAGGTGTGTGTCCTCAGGTCACAGGCAGAGCTGAGGCTGCCACATCATCCTCATCCTCAGGGCTCCATCGCTGACACAACACCACTCACAGCCAAGAAACCCCTCAAGGAATCCATCTCTTCCCCCGATCAGCAGATCACCAAGCTGTCACAGATGGGGGTGGGGCTGAGGAGCCACAACCTGGCTGACATGCAGGTGACCCCAGAAAGTGCAGGAGCACACGGGGGCCAGGAGCCAGAGAGGCTCTGCCAGGCTGAGAAGTGGCTTCAGGACCCCAGAGGTGGAGGTTTCTTCCCTCTCAGCATGAAACCCTGCTGCCAGGACAGCCCCGTGCTCCCCCGCCAGCCCCTCGCTTACGTCCAGCCATCCCTGTCTCTGATCTCGTCAGTCACTTCTGCTTTTTCCAAATTTTCAATGATGATTGGTATCCCTTCCATAATAAAAATAGAGGCCGAGCACGGTGGCTCACACCTGTAATTCCAGCACTCTGGGAGGCCAAGGCAGGCAGCTCATGAGGTCAGGAGATTGAGACCATCCTGGCCAACATGGTGAAACGCCATCTCAATGAAAAATACAAACGTTAGCTGGGGGTGAGTAGCCTGTAATCCCAGCTACTCAGGAGCCTGAGGCAGGAGAATCACTTGAACCAGGGAATCAGGGGTTGCAGTGAGCTGAGATGTCACCACTGTACTCCAGCCTGGTGACAGAGCGAGACTCCGTCTCAAAAAAAAAGGAAGAAAGAAAGAAAAGAAAAAAATAGAATCCAACTTATTATGAAAATGTGTCCTCATAATAAGTAAAAAATGTTAAACCCCACTTACATCCAATAAAAGTGTGTTATGTATAAAATGACATCGTGGCAAAATATTAACGTGCTTTCTCACACAGAATGTAGAGAGGGAAGAGAAAGTATCAACCTCGTGAAGCTGTGAGGGCAGGATCTTGTTCAGATTTGATCACAGGGCGTGGGCGACAGTTGAGGGCATCAAGGCATCCCCTCCAACCCTGAGATATTAGCAGGTACAGGACGGCCATTTGGGGGCTCTATTTCCAGAACCCACCCTGCTAAGTCGTCTGAGAGATGCACTTACACTTTGTGAGGAGACACACACGTGCCTCTCACTCTTCCTGCGCCCAGGCAGACATCGCTCATCCCCCGAAGTTCTCCAGTCCCTGAGGCCCAGTGCAGGGTTCTTAACACAAGGCTCTGCTCCTCCATCAGTCCCGGGACTCAGATGGGACCCACCTGCCCTGACAGGAGAGCTGAGCCCGGGGCAGCGAAGGAGAGGAAGGCTTTCCAGCTGGGCAACCCAGGTGTGAACCCTAGGCCCAGCCCCTGCTCCCTGTGACTCTGGACAACCTACCTAACTTATCTGCATGTCACCCTTCTCGCCCCGGAAGATGGAAGTAATCTGGCCTTCTAGGAGGGCTGCCGTGAGAGCAGCTGTAGGATGGCAGAGTGCCCTGCACTTAGCGGGGCCCCAACAAGGGCAGCTGCAATTTAGAACTTCCAGCATCATCCTCGTTCCAGGCACCTTCCGCTGCCCGAGAAAACTGCCTTCTGATGCCTCCTGAGGGCCTAAGAGCCGCACCCACAAAGACACTTTCAGAATATTGTTTCCTAACACAGAAAGTGAGCGTCCCACTCAAACAAGGCACAATCGTCATTTCAAAACCTTTTGTCGGCCAGGCACAGTGGCTCATGCCTGTAATTCCAGCACTTGAGAGGCCCGAGGTGGGTGGATCACCTGAGGTCAGGATTCAAGACCAGCCTGACCAATATGGCCAAACCCTGTCTCTACTAAAAATACAAACAAATTTAGCCAGGCGTGGTGGCGCCTGCCTGTGATCCCAGCTACTCGGGAGGCTGAGACAGGAGAACTGCTTGAACTGAGATTGTGCCACTTCAATCTAGCCTGGGTGACAGAGTGAGACTCTGTCTCAAAAATATAATTTTTTTAAAAAAAACCTTTTGTCTTTTAAAAAACCTGACCTTGAGCCATCATTGTCTTAAATTTCCCTCCCCTGCGACTCATTGGTGTTTTGTTCAACCCCTCCTGTCATCTCCTCTACCTGCCTGACCCAGAAGAGAAAAAGCAGGAATGTTAAAGCCCAAGGACTTCTCCTGCCGCCCGTAAAATCTTCACTACTTTTATTCTAAGATCCCTATTTGAGGCCACAAATCCCCTTGAGAATGGAGCTGCAAATCCAATTAATTTCTGCCAAAGCCCAACAAAGGCTACTGTGGGGGGGTGGGGGGGGTGACGGAGGGAGAGCAGGAGACAGAGACAGCCCGTCAGGGACTGTGCAGGGCCTCAGCACCCAGCTGCTGGGGCAGGAACACGCAGGGGAATGGAGGAGGCTTCACCAGGTCCCGGTCCCCTTTCACTCCACTCTCCCCACAGCCTCCCATGACCATGCACCTCTGGCCTTTGCACCTGCTCTGCCCTCTGCCTTCAGTCTCCCGTCCTCCTGCCATTCACCCAAGTGCTAGCATCCTTCAGGGCTCAATCCAAGCCCTGCCACATGTGGGAAGACTTGAGCAGTCTCTCAGCCTGGGTCTACCTCTGCCTAGCACAGTGCCTGGTGCTAGAAAGGCATGGATGAGTAGATGCATGAATGGGTGGGTGGGTGCATAGATGGGCAGGGGGAGGGTGGGTAGTTGGCTGCCTGGGTGGGTGAATGGATGTGTGGGTGGGTGGGTAGATAAATGGGTGGGTAGGTAAGTGGGTGAGTGGATGGATGGATGGGTGAGTGGGTGGATGGATGGATGGGTGGTTGGGTGGATGAATGGGTGGGTGGGTGGGTGGGTAAATGGATGGACAGGTGGGTGGATAGATAAGTGGGTAGATAGATGGATGGATGGGTGGATGGAGGGACAAATGGATGGCTGAGTGGCTGGCTGGTTGGGTGGGTAAATGGATGGATGGGTGGGTGGATAGATAAGTGGGTAGATGAATGGTTGCATGGCTAGGTGGGCCGGTGGATGGACATGTGGGTGGGTGGGTGGATGGACAGATGGATGGATGGATGGGTCGGTGGGAGGGAGGGTGGATGCGTGGGCAGATGGACGAATGGATGGGTGAGTGGTTGGCTGGGTGGGTGGGGTAAATGGATGGATGGGTGGGTGGACAGATAAGTGGGTGGATGAATGGCCAGGTGGGCGGTGGATGGACATGTGGGTGGATGGATGGGTGGGTGGGTGGGTGGGAGGGAGGGAGGGTGAATGGGTGGGTAGACGGATGAATGGATGGGCCAGTGGATGTCTGGATGGGCGGATGGAAGGATAAATGGATGGCTGAGTGGATGGCTGGCTGGGTGGGTAGATGGATGAATGGATGGGTGGGTGGGTGGGTGCATGGATTGATGAATGAGTGGGTAGCTAGATGGGTACATGGCTGGGATGATGGGATGGGTGGATGAG